TGAGCTGGAAGTAGGGGCAGGACTGTGGGTGTAGGAAAATGGGCGGGAAGGCCTCTCGGTGCAGGCGGTGTTTGAGGCCACGGCAGAGTTGGGCACAGGGGCCGGGCACAAACGGGCCACGCGTCCCCACTGCCCTGGGGGGGGTGGCAGCGAGGGGCCCACGGGGTGGAGGGCAGTGGCTGGGGGAGCCGGGCTGTCAGCCAGAAAGCAACGGCAGTACCACGGCCTGGTGGCCTGTCTGTCCCCTCCAGCTCCCACCCCTGCAAGGAGACGGGCAGGCCTGGGCTCAGCAGCCCCTGCAGGAGGGGGCAGGTCCCCAGCGGAGCTCTGCCAGCCCCCTGCCCCCCAAGGACAAAGTAGGGGGAGACTCAGAGAAGAGAAGGGTACTGGGGAAGGGGCCAGGCCGAGGACTGGGCTGGGGAGCGGGGGTGGTCTGGCCATCCTGTCCCATCTGCCTTCTGCCCCCCTCCTCTGCCCCCATCAGAAACCAGCCTTCGTGGGAGGACTCCGGCTGGGAACCAGCCACTGACAGGGACCTAGGGACCCTGCCAACTCTCCCTTCCGCTCCCCCCGCCCCCGCCCCGCCTGCCCCTCACTGCCCTCTCCAAGGAAACCAAGGATGGGGGTGAGGCTCTTAAAGGGACCGGGACACAAACTCGGGCAGGGGCCCCAGGGGAGGGGCCGGCCTGAGTCCCGAGCGTCCCTGTGTGGCAGGGCCAGGGTCTGCAGCACAGACCCGAGGGCGACCCTGGCTTGCCAGGCGGCATTCTGAGCCAGTCTGCTCGGTGGACAAGAGCCTGTGTGAGTCCGCGAAGCACGTCTGGGGAGGCTGGAGTGGGGTCAGGCTTCAAGAGTGTGCCGGACGCCACCCCCTCCGCCAGCCTGTCCCAGCGTCCCCTCTGCTGGCTCAGCTTGCAGAGAGTAAGGGTGCCAAGAGCCACCCAGGGAGGGAAACCCCCAACCCGGGGGCACCTGCCAGAGGCTCCGCAGCCGAGGTGCGTGTGGGTCCCAGAGCGTGGAGCCCTGCCCTTCCCGGGGCCCTCCTGGGGCTGGCCCCCAGTAGCCCCCAAACACTGGCATTGCAGCAGGGGCACGGGAGGGCGTCCCTGCCCCCAGCCTGCACGCGGGGCCCCAGCCAGCCCACTTGCAAGTCAGCAGAGCGGACGGTCTCCCAGAATCTTACCAGCTCTGACTTCTAGGCTCTAACTCAGCGGCTGCCGTGAGGGAGACGCCAGGAGCTGGCTTCTCAGGACCACGGGACCGGGGCCCAGGATGGGCTCCGGGCCCTCATCGGCTCTGTCACCCAGCAGTCCATCCTTTCTGCACCCATCCTCCACCCATCCTCCTGAACGGTTGGGAGCTCTGCAGGGACCCCCCTTCCCCTCCCTAACACCCCCGCTCCCCGGGCCTCCCTGCCAGGGCCAGGCTGCTGTAGCGCTGCGGGGGAGGGGTGCCGAGCCATGCTGTCAGCTGGGGTTCCAGAGCGGGTGATCGGGGTCTTTGGCTGGGAGAGGGGATTCGGCCACATAATGCGGGCATCTGCAGCAAGGGGGGCTCCAGGGAGCTGTCAGGGCCCAGTGTTGACAGAGCTGTCAAGTGTGGGTGTCGAGGCTTCGTGTGGAAATGTGTGTGTAACTGGGGGCGAGGCAGGTGGAGGGTCTGTACTGTGGGTGGAAGCCTCTGACTCAGTTTTTCTAAGACGAGCATGTCACATGGTCAACTGTCGCATGTGTCTAGAAGAGGAGGTGGCCCTGCAAGCATATGACACATGTATAATTATATGTGAACATGCTCAACGGATTCAAGAGAAGACACACAGTCAGGGCTCAGCATGTGACCAGGGTCAGGACTCAGAATGTGACCAGGATCAGGGCTCAGTGTGTGACCAGGATCAGGGCTCAGAGAATGAGCAGGGTCATGGTCCAGAGGGTGACTGGGGTCAGAGCTCAGAGAGTGACTAGGGTAAGGGCTCAGTGTGTGAGCAGGGCCAGGACTCAGCATTTGACCAGCCTCAGGGCTCAGAGTGTGACCAGGATCAGGGCCCAGAATATGACCAGGGTTAGGGCTCAGAGAGTGACCAGGGTCATGTTCCAGAGTGTGACTGGGGTCAGAGCTCAGAGTGTGACCAGGGTCAGGACTCAGTGTGTGACCAGGGTCTCAGGGCTCAGCATGTGACCAGTGTCAGAGCCCAGTGTGTAACCAGGGTCAGGGCTGAGTATTTGATAAAGGTCAGGGCTCATTGTGTGACCGGGATCAGGGCTCAGTATGTAACCAGGGATCAGGGCTCAGCAGGTGACCTGTGTCAAGGTTCCATCTGTGATCAGGACAGGGCTCAGTTCGGGATCATTGTCATGGATGGAAAATCACTATTTCTCAACAGATGGTCCCTGGTTCACTCTCCCCCAAGCCCCCACCCACAATCCTGCACATATGTGACACTCTTTCTCACCCCCTCTGTCCACACACACACACACACACACACACACACACATAGGTCCAGGCCAGCACAGAGTCAGGTCCCAGGTCACAGGTGGAAGCCGACTTGGGGCCCTGTCCCTGGACCCTATGTCAGGTCATCTAGGAAACCCTGGGCTCCTCTGGGCCCATTCATGGGGTGAGGAGCAGCTCCCCCGGCCACGGAAGGAGAAGGTGTCCAGCGCAGAACAGGGGTGGGAGTGAGGGGCAGAGCCAGCTCCCTCCGCCACAGCACCCCAGCCTCGGACCCTCCCCACTCCTGAGTAGTCCGCTGAGTCACAGGCCTCTAGGGGGCGCCGCTTCCTCCGAGGCGGCAGACGGTGCAGCTGGGCTCCCAGGGCCATGCCCAGGACCAAACAGGGAGCTTGTGTGGGAATGCTGCCCGGGGCACGTCTCAAACATGGCACAGCTACTGGCACTTTCCTTCTGTCCTCGGGGCCCTGGGCCCACAGGTACAGAAACCCTAATGATCCCATGCATCCACCAGAGGTCACCGCAGGTGGGTGGGGCACGCTGGGACAGTGTGCGGGCCCCCCGCCCCTGAGACAGTTCACGGCCAGAGCTGAGAGTGGGGACCTGGCCACAGGATGGGAGCAGAGGCTCCCCCAGGGCGCGGTCGGCCACGTGGTCCTCCTGGGCCACACGAGGGCCCTCAGGACGGTGAGCTGGACACAATCTGGGCTGGCCAGAGCCGCCCAGGGAGGGCAAAGGGGATGAATCCCACCTCTCTGGAAAGCAGTCTACTTCCAAGAGCTTGACAATGTCCTGGAGACAATCGGAAACGTGGGTGAAGCTGTGAGGAGAAAGAGGAGGCTCCTCCAGCAGCGGGGTGAGCCGCGTGCCCTGGGGCTGCAGGCAGCCCTTGCACCGCCCCCGGTGGGAGGGAGCTCCAGGCGGCGGGAAGGGCCGGACAGATGGACCAGGAGCCACAGCACAACCCGGCTGCCAGGGGATGCAAACTCGGCGGGGCTGGCGGGGGCGCTGCAAGCGTGCGGGCCTGCTTCCCTGCTCGGTATGTCATCACTCCTTTCAGACACCCCATTGTGTACCAAGAGGTTGCGCCGCTTGTAAAACCCAGAGAAAAGCAGGATGACAACCAAAGCCAGAGGGCCACTTGCCAGGCCTGCAGGTCGCCCGGCCCTCCCCCAGCCCAGCTGCCGCCCCAGGCCCAGAGCCGGAAAGGCCAGTGGAATCTGCCGAATGGCCCCGCGTGCCCTCAGAACAGGGCCCTGGCACTGCCTGTCCTTTTTGCCAAAATGTTTGTCTCCAGACACCCACGTGCACGGTGCTATGTCAGGCCTCTGCTCAAACATCATCTCAGAGAGGCTCCCGGGAACCCGCTTTAAAAGGCACTTTACCCCACCTGCCATCAGATCCATCTGGCTCCACTTCTTGGCACGCGGCATGACCTGACATTTTCAAAGAAATCTATATATTCCTGCTTTACTGCCCCTCCTCACTGGAGACGGGACAAGGTTGAGGACAAGACCTGATAGAGAAATGCCTCGTCTGTGGTTGGTAATCACTGGAGGATGGATGGATGGATGGGTGGATGGGTGGATGGGTGGATGGGTGGATGGGTGGATGGGTGGATGGGTGGATGGGTGGGTGGATGGGTGGATGGGTGGATGGGGGGATGGGTGGACAGGTAGATGGATGGATGGGGGTGAATGGATGGGGGTGGGTGGATGGGGGTAGAGGGGGGTGGATGGATGGGTGGATGGATGGGTGGGGGGGATGGATGGGGATAGATGGATGGGTGGATGATCCCATCCCAACAGCTTCCATAGTTCCTGACACAACAGCCCCACAAACTGGCCCCATCCTGCCTGTCCTCCAGCCACCTGCTCTTCCTGGCCACATCTCACATTCCACCCGTACCGTCCAAATTCCATGTTTTTGCTCAAGCTGTGCTTGGGCTTCAGTCCCCTTCTCTGCCAGGCAAACTTGTCCTCCTTGAGTGTCAGCCACCGTGGGAGCCTTCCTGACCTCCCAGGACGCACACTCATCACTGCCCTGCCCAGAGCACAAGGGATTGCTGCATGTGCCCCCAGGCTCGGAGGGCCAGGCTGTGCACGCTCACACTCCTGGCCGGCCTGGGGAAGGGGTGCGGGGAGGCCTAAGGGATACTGATCCAGCGCTGAGAGGGACGGGTGGTGACAATGATGCCCAACCCCCCGAACACACCCTCCCCAGTGGGGAAGGCCTAGCTCCCACCAGGCTCACCTGACCCACCAGGATCCAGTGCCAAGCTCTCTCCCGCCCCATGTCCCAAAATTCTGACCCTCCTCCTCTGGAGGCTGCTCCCACTTTCGGGCCTTTGCACAACTCTTTCCTGGGGTGGGAGGCGGGCTGGGTGGGCTCCTAGCTGCCTCGGAGCCAGATGTGGACAGGGAGGGATCACGTGAGACGTGGGTAGATGGGAGGACACGGCCTCAAACCGGAGACCACACCCCTCCCCATGGGCCAGCCTCCCCCGAGCCCACCCCGGAAGCCCCGAGGCCACAAAGTCCACGTGGACTTACACATCCGACTCGTCCCACAGGATACAGGTCTGGTTGGTGGTGCCCTGGGAGAGAGCGGGGAGAGTCAGGGTCACGTGCCCACCCTACAGGCCTGCCCCAGGGTCACTGCCAGGGGCCACCCACAGGCCTGCCAGGCGGGCCTTCTGACTCTGCTGTCGCCCCCAGAGATGGAGCTTGAGGAGGAGGAAACTGAGGCCCAGAGCGGGGAAGGCACTGGCCCCGCCCTCAAGCCACTCTTGTCCCCTCCTCAGTGGGGCTGGGCAGCGAGGCCGAAGCCCACCTTGGGTGCCCAGGCAGCCCGTCCAGCGTAATACAAAATGGCGTGCCAGGGAGACCCCTCCCGTGGGGCCCTGCGGGGTGGGCACCGGCGGGGCCTCAGCAGACCCTGTCCTGCAGGCCGGCGGAGGGAGAGCTGCAGGGTCCGGGGCACTTGTGAGTAGTGGGGCGCTCTGAGCGCTGGTGGGAATGTTAGTTCTCCACCAAGGCTACACCTCGCATCTGATAAGGGAGAGCCAAGGCACAGAGAGGCCGAGCAACTCGCCCAAGGCCACACAGCGGGAAAGAGTAGAGCCAGTTCCTGCCACGACCCTGGCCGGGAGTTCGAGGCCTGGTGCTGCTCTGTCCTGGCTGGGTAATGGATTGGCTCACACCCTTGGCTTCCCGGCTCTCAACGGGTCCAAAGGGCAACCACTGAGGCCTGATGGAGAGCCCCAAGGAGCAGGGCACGGCGGGGCTGTGAGGCCCGGGGTAGACTCATTTCTGAGAAGGGGATGGCTCTTCCCCGAGGAGATCAGGCCGACCAGGGCCGGGCATGGCCGCTAGAGCTTGGGCAGTGGCTACAGAAACGGGTTGAATTTTGCCTCCCACGTCCCCCGCTGTGTGAGCCTGGGCAGATCACCACACCTCTCTGAGCCTGTTTCCCCTCTATCGGTCACGGATGCGAGCAGCAGGCTAAAGTGAGACCCAAGAAGGCCGCAGTATCCATGTGGGATCAGGCGGGAGGAATCGAGGGATCCACGTGGGATCAGGCGGGAGGAATCGAGCACACATGCACAGCCCTGTGCACACGGGGGGCACTCACGTTGTACACGTGGGCAAACTCAATCTCCAAGGGCGTGAGCAGGGAGCGGGGTGGGGGCTTCACAGTCACGGAGATGACCTTGGAGTTCAGCACGGTCGTGTTCCTGGGGCAGAGCCAGCAGGCCGTGTCAGGGGGCCACAGGGGTGACGCTTCCCCGCCCAGCCCCTCCCCTGAACGCCTCCCACCGGCCCGCGCGCCCGTGCTGTGCCCGCGTCCCGTCCCAGCCAGCCGGGCCTCCCACCTCTGCAGGGCCAGGAAGCTGCCCAGGTTTCTGTAGAGCACGGTGCCCACCACGAACACAGACGAGTCATCAGCCTCTGGAAGAGGGTGCGGCGGTCACCTCCTCCCTCCTGCTGTAGCCTGGGTCTCGCTCCGGTGCGGGAAGCGCACATCCCCGGGAGGAGGCCCGGGCTCCGTGGTCGTGTCCACCCCCATCACACACACAGCACTGTAGTCCGAGAGCTGGGGTGGTGGCCTAGGCCTAGGTCCCCCTAAGTGACCCCTGAGGGCAGGGGGGCACGCAGGGCACGCTTCTCTTCCCGGGAACCAGAGTTGGCTCCCGTGCACTCCCAGGACGACCCCTTCCATCCCTGCAGTGACTAGGTCCACTGGGGCATTCAGCAGAGGTCGCCCAGGAGCCTCCAAAAGCAGGAGGGCAGGGAGGGCTTCCTGGAGGAGGGGGTGACCTCAGGAACACGGAGAAGAAACGAAGGCTGTCCTGGCCCTTGAAGCAGCAGGCCCGATTCCAGAAGGAAGCTCCCGGGGTGGGGGGGGTTGGGCCCTCGGACCCCAGGGCCTGAGTCTCCCGAGAGGGCCCCTCCCGCAGCTTGGGGCCCCTCACCTGCCAGCCCTGTGGAGAAGACGCTCTTGGACACCGTGACCCTGTCCTCTGGCACCTTGGCCCAGTCGCCCGTGGCCCGCCAGCCCTTCATGGGGAAGCTGATATCCGTGGCTCCACTGGCCGGAAGCTTATGGATGCTGAGGACTGGGGCAGGGGGGGGACCCGCCCAGAGACCACAGGGACAGAGACAGACAACACGCGGAGAGCAATTGTGCAACCAGGAGCCTTGGCCCTGGGAAGTTCGTGGCTCAGAAGGGACCCCAACTTCCAAGCCCTCAAAGGATCCCCACCCCCGCCCCAGCAGGAGCTCCCTGCCACGGTGAGGATCCAGGCTTTGACTCAGCCCCTGTGGCCCCACGGGTCAAAGGCAGCTTCTGCAGTCAGGACTGTGGCCATGAAGGGGTCCCCAAGGAGCAGTGTCCCCTGGGGGCTCCCCCTTCCTCCCTGGGATGCTGGAGCCCAGCCCCCCTCCCTGCCTGCTCTACAAAAGGGAACAGATCCCACCTCCTAGGTCATCCCCGGGGGCAAAGTGGCACACACAGGCTAGGGAGCACAGGACTGGGGTGGGGGGGTCCCAGTGTCTCCAAGTCCCCCCCCCAAGCCCGCCAATGTCAGGCAGACACCATGCTCCCTTCTCCCAGCACCCCACGGCCTTCCCTCATTAGGTGTGGGGAAAAGGGGGTGGGGCTTGGGAACCCACAGCCTCCACCTGCGGTGCCCAGCTACCACCTGGCCTTCACCCACCTCTGGGGCCTCAGCCCCAACAAAACCCCACCACATGCAGCCAGTTCACACCTCCGTCCCTGCTTTGCTTTCATGGGGCCCCCTGCCCGTACTCCCTTGGCCCCTCCACACCTGGCTACCCAGCTGTACCATCCACGCACTTGCTGTACGGGACAAGGGCACCTTCCCTATAGGAAGACCTAGGGACAGAGATGGGGCCCATCTCTCTGAGTGTCCAGTATGTGGGCTATGGGGTATGTGGGCTATTGGTGTGTAGACCCATGGGGTGTGTAGGTATATGAAGTGTGCGTGCAGTATGTAGGCACATGTGGGGTGTGTGAGCTGTGGGGTATGTGGACGTGTGGGGTGTGTGGGGTGTGGGGTGTGTGGGGTGTGGGGTATGGGTGTGGTGTGTGGATACGTGGGGTGTGTGGGGTGTGGTATGTGGTGTGTGGAGTGTGTGGTATGGGGTGCACATGATGTGGTCAGTGGTGTGTGGGTCTGGGGTGTGAAGTATGTGGGGTGTGTGGGGTGATGACCACCATTGAATCCATTAGCTGCAGGTGTTTGGCAGGACAGGTGGGGTGATCTGGGGCTCTCTGCATGCCCAGGAGGCGAGAACTGGTGGCTGTCCCATCTTAGAGACTGGGTCAGTGCACCTGCGCTAGGTGGAGCCGGAGACCCTCTGAGGAGACACGTGGGGGTGGAGGGCACAAAGGACTGGCTGCACGGTCCTGCCTTGGAGCCTCTGCATAGTCCCAGCACAGGCAGGCCACTGCGTGTGCAAGCAGGGGCTGGCTCTGGCCCGGGACTCGGTGCTGCAGGCCCTTGTTTGGGTTGAGACACCCTGGGGTTCCCCTCTGGGGTCCCATCAGGCTGAGGTCCACGCGGGGCTGGGGGCTGAGTCTGTGCGAAGGCACAGGGAGGGCCCGCGGAGGGCGTCTGGCCGACGCCTGTTCCCGTGGAGGCGGGAGGGCGGCCCAGCACTGCGAAGAGGGCCGGGGGTCAGTGGAGTGGGCAGGGGCTCACCCAGGTTGTCTGTGACCTGGTACGCATCCCGAAGGTCCTTCATGCGGAAGCCGATGACGCCCACAAAGTCCTCCACCAGCCGGAAGAGCTCCTTGGCATTGGGGCCCATCTGGGGACAGGGTGGGGGTAAGGGGCAAGGAGCCTCAAAGCCGGTGGGGACCACAGAGGATAATGAGGGTGTCACTGAAGCCCCCCCCCCAGCCTGGGACACACCCTCCCATTCCTCTGCTCCTGCACCTGTCGCCCCCTTTCCAGGGTCCTGTCACCGAGAAGCTCCGGGTCCAACTTGGGAGGCAGGGTTGGACCTCTGAGGATCCACTGACATCTGGCAGAGCAGAACCTTGAGCCCAGAGAGGCTGCTGTACTCGTGGGCAGGGCTCCAGCCTGGGGACAAGGCCGGGGTCTCTGGAGACCCACAGTCCTTACCCCGACTGTTGTCCCGGGGTCAGGAATGGTGGCAGCTTCCACGTCAGTCCAGGAGGAAGGAAGGCTGACCATGTCCCAGTGACCCCGACATGTACCATGTGGCCAACACCTTTTCCCACACCCGCCACTGAGCCCACAAGGCGAGCCACCGTCCTCTGGTGGATGGGGGGTGGAAGCTCGGAGTCACACCAGCTCAGGGGTCCTGCTGGGATTCCAACCCAGGGCCCCACCTGGGCTATAGCCCGGCTCCAGGGAGGGAGCAGACACGCCCGTGCCCCCCGCCGCTCGGACCAGGGCCCGAAGCTGCCGTACCAGCCGGGCCTCCTCCCACTTGTCCCGGTTCTCTTCCGCCAGCAGGTTGCTGATGATCTGCACAAAGTTCTGGAAAAAAAGAGGAAAAAGGGCCAGTGAGCAGAGAAAAAGGCACCAGATTTATGGCTCAGTGTGCTCCCAGGGTCAGGGCTCAGTAACGGGGCGGTGGGGGCAGTGAGGCCTCAGGGCTCAGCAGGTGGCCAGGTCAGGGCTCAGTAACTGGGATCAGGGCTCAGCAGGTGGCCAGGTCAGGGCTCAGTAACTGGGATCAGGGCTCAGCAGGTGGCCAAGGCCAGAGCTCAGTAACGGGGTCGGGCTCAGCAGGTGGCCAGGTCAGGGCTCAGTAACTGGGATCAGGGCTCAGCAGGTGGCCAGGTCAGGGCTCAGTAACTGGGATCAGGGCTCAGCAGGTGGCCAGGGTCAGAGCTCAGTAACAGGGGTCCGGGCTCAGCAGGTGGCCAGGTCAGGGCTCAGTAACTGGGATCAGGGCTCAGCAGGTGGCCAGGTCAGGGCTCAGTAACAGGGGTCAGGGCTCAGCAGGTGGCCAAGGCCAGAGCTCAGTAACTGGGATCAGGGCTCAGCAGGTGGCTAGGTCAGGGCTCAGTAACTGGGATCAGGGCTCAGCAGGTGGCCAAGGCCAGAGCTCAGTAACTGGGATCAGGGCTCAGCAGGTGGCCAAGGCCAGAGCTCAGTAACTGGGATCAGGGCTCAGCAGGTGGCCAGGGCCAGAGCTCAGTAACTGGGATCAGGGCTCAGCAGGTGGCCAGGTCAGGGCTCAGTAACAGGGGTCAGGGCTCAGCAGGTGGCCAGGTCAGGGCTTAGTGTGAGGCTGGAGTCGGGGACTCCCTATTCACTTTCCCAGGTGCCCTCCCTAGGGCTGCCCTCTGGGAGTCCACCTGCGCATCCCCAGGGGTGGGGCTGTAGTACGCCCTCCGGAAGATCTCCGTCATATTCCTCAGGACATCAATGGTGGAAAGAAGGTCCCCACTGTAGCTGGTCCCGTCCTGGGAGATCTCCACCAGCGTCTGAATCACCTCGGAGACTCCCTCCCCAGGCAGCCCACGCTGAGCCTTCGCCAGGTGCTCCCGGGTCTGGGATGACGGAGGGGGTTGGATGCCATGATTCTGCAGGACTCGGCACGGCAGGGCCTTGGGCCTCCTGCCGCCCCCAGCCAGTGGCCATAGCTGACTCGTGTCCGCAGGCCATGTCATGGGGCCGGCCGTAGGGCTGGGTCTGAAGTTAAAGGGCAGAGGAGTGCCGGGCAGGGCGGGACACCCCAGAGCCCCCTCTCACCATCATCTGGATGTTCCGGTAGTCGATGGAGACACAACGGATGTAGGTGGGGGGCTCCCAGTAGGCGATGCCCTCCTCGTCCAGCTCACAGCGTCGCAGGATGAGGCCTGGGGAGACAGCGGGTCACCTCTGCCTCCGGCGCAGAAATCCCACCCCTGCTCCTAGGCACAAGCCCCTCCGGCCCTCAGAAGCAGGGACTGGCCGGGGGGGCTCCCAGCACGGGGCCTGGCCTTCCTTGTTTCTTTCCTTCAGCACATTTAGCGGCAGCTCCTGCAAGGCAGCTGCTGGGCCAGGGACCCAGGACCCCACCTGCGTGGAGGTGGAGGCCTTGGCTGAGTGGGGGGCCTCTCCCGCAGCCCCTCTCAACCCAGAGCCCCCGGGAGAGCCAACGGCCCGGGCCCTGCCCAGCTCCACCCACAGCACGGCAGGGGCCTCTGCTGGCCTGGGCGTCGTATGGACACCGAGGGGGCATTTGGCAGCAGTGGCCACGCAGCCGTGGCACACCACAGGGCTGACCCCAGAGAACTGCCACCCGACACCAGCCCCTGGGTGGGAAGGGACACCTGTTCCACAGCGGGGCGCAGGGTCACAATAAGGCGGGAAGGCGGTCATACTCGCAGACCAAAGGCCAGAGATCACGCCATCGTGTGACCTGCGTTTTCTTAACTTTGCTTCTCTGCATTTGCAATATGCTCCCAGGAACACGTAAACAAGACGGGGTGGGGCTCAGGAATACACAAGCCCACCATGGGCCCCATCGCTGTCCCCATCGTATGTGTCCCACCCCACCCTTCCTAGCAACAGCCCTGGCGGGACAGCCCCGAACACCCTCCTTTTACAGACAGAAAATGGAGGCTCAGAGAGGTCAAGTCAATTCCTGTACATCACACAGCAATAAGGGTCCACAGACTGATGGCATTCCTTCAAATAAGAAGGACAAAAAAGACCAAGCCCTCAGGGCAGCTAAGCCCCTTCCCTTAGGAGCACATCCCGCCTTTCCACACACCCCCAAACCCTCCACAGGGCTGCCCGGGGATTAAGGCTGCCTGCATTCAGAGTCAGCTTCTTACTGGCCCTGCAAGCCCAGGGCAGGTGTGTTAATTTCTTTGTGCCTCAGTTTCCCACCCATAACTGGACATCCGTTGCAATGGGCTCTGTGCAGATGCTGGCTCTCGGGGGGCATTCAGGACACTGGGGCAGGCCGCATGGGGCCCAGCCGTGCTGCCCTGGCTTCAGTGGGCATGAGCTGACAGTTCTTTGGGGCAGGCCCGGAGGGCGTGTTAGTGCCTCTCTGTGAGGTGGGACTCGGCACCCCCAGCCCTCACCTGTGGCATTGCGGGGACACCGGACGGCAGCCACCTCTCCTGCCGGAGTCTCTTTCCAGACCACCGTGCCAAAGTTGTCCTCATCACAGATCTCATGGGGCTCTGCCGAGGGGCCAGGAGCAGTGGGTGGGGCAGGGTATGGGAAGGGGGACCATGAGCTGGCAGAGGCTCTGGGAGGCCAAGACCCTTCCAGAACATCTACTGTCCCAAGGCAGAGCCATTCCCAGCAAAGCTAAGCCCCAAGCCCACCCAGTTGCTCCGGGTGGCCCTGCCCAGAGCCCAGCCAGGGAGACGGGAACGAGGACACTCACCAGGACACCGCTGGGCGCCACACTGCCGAAACTCATCCTGCGGGCCCCGGCAGGCTGCCCCCCCGAAGAATGGGCCGGAGCAGGCGCGCGCCCGTCGCTGTGTGCCGCCCCCACACGTGACACTGCAGCCGCCCCACGATGCCCAGGCCTGCCACTTGCCATCCACTGCAGGGCACAGCCCGGCACGGGGGACACCCCGATGGGGACAAGGAAGGTGCAGGTCCAGGAGCCGTGGGGACGCAGAGACATGGGGACCCAGGGATGTAGCAGCAGGAAGCCATGAGGAGAAAAGAAATTGAGACCCAGGAGCAGAACCAGAGCCCCCCGCCCCGCCCCGTGCAGGGGTCCCCGTGACCTCCCCCCCCGCCACAGGCCCCAGGCGTGGTCCTGACCTGGGCACTGCTGGAGGAAGCAGTCTCGAGTCTCCACCCAGTGGCCCTGGCATTCGGCGCCCCCGTAGGAAGGTCCGTTGCACTCCCGTGTGCGCTGCTGTCGGCCCTGGGAGCAGCTGGTGGAGCACGCGCTCCAGCCTGACCACTCGTTCCAGTTTCCGTCCACTGCCCGGCCCGGGGGAGGAAGGGGACAGGAAGCCAGCGTGAGTACCCAGCCTAGGTCACGGGGGTGAATGCCTCCAGGGGCCCCCCACCCCACCATCCGGCCTGGACCACAGGGGAGAAATGAACACCCCCAGGGGCTCACCACCCAACCCTGTGTCACGTGTGTGAACACCTCTAGGGGCCTGCCACTCCACCATGCGTCCTGGGTCATAGGTGTGAACGCCTCTGGGGTCCACCACACCACCACGAAGCCTGGGACATAGGTGTGAGCATCTGGCGGGGGGGGGGGTGCCATCCCAACACCCATGACACACGAGTGAGAATGCCCTAGGCTCTCCAACCTCTAAGCGCCCTGGCAGGCTGGCCAGTGACCCACCGGCCCTCCTCCCTTTCCTTTCTTCGCCTGCCCATCCCCCAGCCCAGCTCCCTCCCTCTCACCTACCAGGACACAGGGCAATGTTGCAAAACTTAGTTTGCTTCTCAGGGCCCTCACAGGGGTTGCCTCCAAACTGGGGGGGCCTGCAGGTGCGCGTGCGGTCTCGGAAGCCACGGCCACAGGTGCTGGAGCAGAGGCTCCAAGGCGACCACTCGTCCCAGGCGCCATGCACTGCGGAGGGGACAGGAGGGCGTGGCTGGGTTCAGCAACCCGGCTGGTCCGCCGCTGCCCCGCCCAGTCCCCGCCCCACCCCGCCCCAGCCCGCCCCCTCCCGGACCCACCTGGACACACCGCCGAGTTGTTGCACAGCCGTTGCTCGCGCAGGGGCCCGCTGCACTGCGTGCTGTAGGAAGAGGACACGCAGAAGCGCGTGCGGGTCTGCCAGCCCTCGCCGCAGGTGCTGGAGCACACGCTCCACGGGGACCACTCCTCGGCTGCGGGGTCACCTGCGGGCCCAGACCAACAGCATCGCAGGCCTGCCGCTGCCTCGGTGCTGAGGCTGCGGTCGGACTCCGAGGAGAAGGGCCACCGAGCTGGGCAGCAGGCCGTTGGCTAGGCTCTTAAGCCTGGGGGGGTTCCCACCTGGGCTGGTCTTCAGGACTTGCCATTTCCCCTACAAGGCTGGGAAGCTCTGTGGGTGTCCTTGTGCCACCTCTGGGTCCCCGGGTCTAGCCCCAAACAGGCCCCCTCGCCTCGCACCAATCCCCTAAATCGTCTGCTTGGCACCTAAGAGGTGAGTCTAAAGGTAAGTTATTAAGGTTATTACCTAGAATTAGCAGCAATTAATAACATAGCATATTTGCCCAAAGACCCTGTTCCCTGAAACCAACCTTCCCCACTTTGTAGTGTTTTAGTCTAACTGCGGGCACGTCAGGCCCGCTCACCCCGTGGCTCACCTGTCTGTGGGGACGGGAACCCGAACTGCTGCAGCTCCTCCCCCGGCTCCTCGCGCCGCCGAGCGTCTGTGGATCGCAAGGACTGGCTTCGGGAGCTGGTGCGGCTGGCCGCTGCAGGACGGGCTCAGGTCAGTGTCCAGGCCACCGCCGGCAGCACCACCCCCGGAATTCGGGAGGGGCGCTCTGGGCCCTGTGTCCCTCCGACCCTGGCCAGAGTGGGGGCAGGCTTGCCACACCCGGGTTATGTGGCCCCACTGCAGTTAGGAAACCTGAAACCAGGACACCCTGGCCTGACACCAGCCCCTGAGGGGTCACCATGAGACCCCTCCCTGTGGGTGCCCTCTCCCCTGCCCTGCGCCCCTTCCTTCTCTTCCTCCAGAGTCCGCAGGCGTCGCCGGCAGGACCGGATCTGAGCGGCTGTTGCTCTTTCCTGCTCAGCGTCCCACCAGCGCTCCTGTCTCCCGTGGCCTCCTGACACCCCAGAGCCCTCCCCAGGTTCTGGAGATGAGCTCCTCTCCCCAGGAAAGTTCTTCAGGGAATAAACCACCCGAAGAGTGACAGTCTCATTATAACTTGATTTAACATTATGGACGCGGCTAAAATATGCATAAGGACATTAAAGGCTTATTAGAGAAATACATTCTGGAGTCAGAATCAGGCTGGGGCCAGCAGATCTGGCCCGGGCTCCCCGGGTGCTCCGCGAGCAGTCGGTCCTCCGCGAGCACCCCCAAATTCCTAATTCCCCAGGGGAGAAGAAAGCTCCTCCACCCAGTTCCGCCTAACTTCGGGCGGGGCGGGGGTCCCACCCCCTCCTCCCGGGTCCTCACCTCTACGGGTCCTTGCCCCACCTGGACCAGGCCTCGGCCCCGCCCCGCACCAGGCCCCGCCCCACAAAGCCCGGGGCCCACCCAGCCTCTTTCGGGCCAAGGCCCCTCCCCCACCTGGCCTTGCCCTCGAAATTTCCTTTCCCCTCTATCCGGTCCCACCCCGCCCCGGGCCCCTCCCTCGTCTGGCCCCGTCCCCCGATCCTCCCTCACCTGGCCCCACCCCGGGCCTCCACTCTCCCTCACCTGGCCCCTCCCCAGGCTCCTCCCTCCCCTCACTCGGCCCCGCCCCGGGCCCCCTTCCTCCCCGGCCCGACCTTGCCGTCGAGGTCTCCTTCCCTCTACCCTGTCCCACCCCGCCCTGGGTCCCTCCCTCCCCTCCCCTCCCCTGGCCCCGCCCCGGACCCCCCCCCCGCCCTCCTCTGGCCCCGCCCCGGGCCTCTTCCCTCCCTTGGCCCCGCCCTGGGCCCCCTCCCTCCTCTGGCCTCGTGGACCCCTGCCCTCCACCCGGCCCCCCAGGCCCAAACCGCCCGCGCGTCGTCCGCGCACTCACGGCCGCAGGCCTTGCGGTTGCACAGGCGGCCCTCCTCCAGCACCCCCTCGCAGCCGCGGCCCTCGGTGCCGGGAGCCGGCAGGCAGGTGCGCGTCCGCGTCTGTAGGCCTCCCCCGCAGTCCCGAGTGCACTCGCCCCACAGGGACCACAGCTTCCAGCCACCTGGGAGGAATCAGAGGGTGGGGGTCAGGGACAGGGGCGGGGCAAAGGGCTGGGGTGTCTTTCGGGGAGTGACCTCTGGAAGTCTCCTGGGCAGGGTCGTAGAGCACCCGCGGGTCCGAAGCCTGTGAGTGCCGGGCCATGAGGCAGCACAGCCCTGTGGGGGGTGGGCTGGGAGACGAGTGCGGGCCTGGGCAGCCCGTCCTGGGCCTGTGAAGCAGAGGCCAGGCAGGGGCAGGGAGGGGCAGAGGTGCTGGGGAAAGGGTCTGCCCTGGGGGATGGCCCTGGGGGCCTGGTGCCTACCCCACTCCCCGGGTGTCCCTCTCCAGCTCTCTGTCTACCCGTACCTGTGCCAAGGTCTCTGCTGGCTTTGAACCCAGGCCCCCAGTGTAGGGGCTGGACACAGAGCTGGAGCCCCAGGGATGTCTGAAGAGTGAATGAATGAAAGAAAGAAAGACAGCCCTGCCTCCCCCCCCCCCCCCCCCATGGCTGCCTCTTCTAAGGTTCTGGTGATAGGTGCCAGGGCCAAGGGGGCCCTCATTCCCCGACACAGATCCTCAAGCCCTGCTGGACCCCTCCCCATGGTCCTCAGTCCAGTGTCCTCTGAGCCCCCACCTCCTGGCCATGACCTGGGTGCTCTCTCCCTCACTCCCCCAGACCTAGCAGGGCTGGTGCCTGGCTGCCGAGGGAGCTGGGGGACGAAGGCCTCCAGCCACCCCCTTTCAGCCCCTGTCATGAGTCTCCTCCATCCTGGCCCTGTTGCCCCTAAAATCCAGACCTAACATCCCTGAGGGTCTGAGCCCCTGGGTAGCCCACATCTACTAAGCACGTTGAGCAGGCTAAGTACTGGGGGGCTGCTGATGGCCGAGTCGCAGGGAGGCTGCTCATCTTGGGCCAGAGTGTGGAGGCCGATGGACTGATGGACTGAGGAAGGCTGTTTCTGTCCGAAGGCCATGGACTGGGACCACGGGGTCCAGGCCCGGACCACGGTGCTGCGCTGGACTCTAGCCACCGCCATCCCGTGTGTCCTCGGGGACACCAGGACCCCTATGCTCCCAGCGAAGCAGGATTAGAGCACACTGGGTCAGGGTAAGCAGCTTCACCAACACCTACTCTGGGCGGGGTGCCCTGCCATGGCACCGGCTTCCGAGGTGGCCAGGAAACTGGCTGGCATTGGCCGGGCCCAACAGGGAACCCGCACTCAAGCTGGGCCACTGCCCCACGGGGCCTGCTCACCTGAGGTTGGACACACGTGGCCTGTGAGAAGGGCCCCGGGTGCCTCTTGGAGTTTGGTTTTTATCTGTGGCTTGGGGAAGTAGACCCCACCCCAAGGGAGAGAATGAAGGCTGCTGGAGCCCCCGAGGGTGGGCCCTAGGACAGGGGCAGAGGGCGGGGCTGGAGCCGAAAGACCAGGTTTCCATGCTGGCCGCCCCCCCCCCCCCGCCCACTGGCGTGGGATGGTCAAGTCCATCCTGCCCTGGCCTCATGCCTCTTATCTGAGGATGATGGGCAGCTACTTCCCAGAACTGATGGCATGGAGATAAATGGCAAGAAAGGGCTGGGGGGGATGGGTGTGGACAGTCACTGGGGGCAGAGTTGACCCCGGAGAACCCACTTGGTGTCCAGGTGACTCAGGGCGGGAGCTGATCTGTTCTGTGGGTGGCCACCTGGGAAGGTGCCAGAGACCCTCCTCATTGCCTGTGGGCCTGTGCTGGGAAGCGCCCAGCAGGGGGAGCCAGGGGCAGACGCACGGGAGGCACAGGCCCGCGGGAGCCCCCTCCCGCTGGGCCCAGAAGGGCAGAGCACCTCTGCCAAGGGCCCACAGCCGTCAAGCCTCTCGTCCTGCACGTCGGCTGGTGCCGGTGGATGGGGAAGGCAGGCCAGCTAAGGCATCCACACCACAGGGAACGTGCGGGAGGGGCTGGCTCAGACGGCAGTCACTGCCCCTCAGTGGCCGGGCGTGGACGCTGCTCTCTGGGGCTCACACACAGGAACACGGGGCTTGCAGATGTGCTGTCGGGCCTGGGAAGGGCCTGCCAGGGCCACACAGTGGGAGCAGGGCTGCATTTTGCATGGTTCCTCGCTCTTGGTGGGGGGTGGGGGGGTGGAGGGGCCTGGTTTGAGCCCCTTACGGGGTCTGGGTCAGATGCTCTCACTGGTCACTGAGTTCCCACGAGGGACACCTTGTGGCTCCCGCTGCTCATATGAGAAGACCAAGGCCCGCTGAAGTGGAGGGGTGCCTGTGCCCCCCAGCTAGGGAGTGGCCAAAGGGCAATCGAGCCAGGCTGTCGGACCCTCCAAGAAAGGATGCTCCCTCCCCAGCCACTGTGGCCAGCTCCCCCGGGGGACCTCCTGTGCAGGGGACCCTGCCCCGTCCCTGCCCCTGTCACTGCCCTGGTGGGCCCTATCTACTCTGTGACAGCCGCCTCGGCACAGGAGCCTTGAACCCGGCCTGCCCAGGAGGCCACTTTCACCCCATTTACAGCAAAGGAAATGGAGGCTCACAGAGTGGCGGTCAGGACAGCCAGGGGCTAGGGCCAGACCGTCTGCCTGGGGAGGGGGTGCTGGCACTGAGGAAGCCTGAGCCTCCAAGGTGCACGGAGCCAGGGTCTCAAGAGCTGAGTAGGAACTGGACACGTGGAGGGTCCTACGTAAATGCCGTTTCATCTTAAACCACCCATATCCCGTACGGACTCCAGAGAGGTGGGCTGGGTGCGTGAGTAGGTGCGCAGACTGGGGGCCTGGGGAGAGGGCTGGGGAGCCCCCAGTGGCCACGGGCCAGGACAGGGGGGCGGTTCGGGCCGGGTGGGCAGCAGCCTCGTGCCCACGCCGCCCGGCAGGTGCGGAAGGGAGGCCGAGTTACCTCCCGCTGACGAGGAGAGGAGCCAGCACCGAGCCCAGAATCAGCTTCCAAAAGCCCCCCTGTGCCTCCCGACTAAGGCCACCTGCCAGGACCGCCCACAAGCCCCAACCCCTCGCTCCAGGCCTCAGTGGTGTCGCCTGCTGAAGCCGTGCCACCCTGTCATGCAGACCCAAAGGAACGGAGGAGGCTGGAGTCCAGGGAGATAGCCAGGTGACAGGGTCGGGGGGCACGTCCTGCCCTTCCTTCCTGGCTGCTCCAGCCCAGCCCCCACAAGGAAGCCTGAGTGACGTGGAAACTGGCAGTGGGTGGGAGAGAGAGGGTGTCCAAGCCAGGCTAATTGGAGGATGCCACTTGGTTCCCATGGCAACTGCTGCAGAGCTCAGAGTTTCAGGATAGACTCAGGTTAGGCCTCAGCTGCCAAAACACCCACTATTTCAGGGCTGGTTACCTTGGTGACCCAGGTGGGGGGGAGGGGTAAGGAGGAGGGGGCGCATCAGGGGAGGCTGGGGAGGGGGCCCACAAGCCTGGAGGACAGGCTGGCCCCTGGGTCTAGCTCTGAGCCTGGTCACACTCGGAGCCTTGATCCTCACGACAGACTAACTTGGGGTCCTGGGCGCAGGATCCCTGCTCCCTATTCACATACTGAGGCCTGATCCCCGTCACATACTGATCCCCAACCTTGGCCATGCTCTGGCCGCTGATGATCACTCAGGAGATGGAAGCTGCTATTTTTGTTATCGTTTTTATTTTTAACGTGTGTTCCCACACATGGCTGCCACTGGATCAGTGTTCGTTGAGCGAATGCGTCCATGACCGGAGGGGTCCCCCTGCAAACTCTCCTCGGCCCGCAGGGCCCCGCGGGCTTCCCGGGGCTGCTGAGCAGTGGGCAAGGCTGGGGGGCGGGCTGCCCCTCCAGGCGCGGAAAGAAGCCGCATTCTTCCCCCGCTCAATGCCCCTCTGTCTCAGTGCCTCATTTCCATCTCATTAATGGATGAATAGAGCCGATTAATGGCCGCCCAGGAGAGAGAGCCTGCGAGGGGGCTCCGCGGCCGCCTTCCCACCCCAGCGTCCCAGCCTGGAGGCTGTGCTGCTCCAGTCTGCGCCGGCCGGGGGCGCGCTGAGCCCCCCACTCCCCGGGGCCTTGGTCCCTTCGGAGGAGGGCTGCGCACTTCCTGTCTCCTCCAGCAGAGGTCTCCCCAGCCCCGCAAGTGGGGGCGGCTCCACGGGTCCTTGTCACGGCTGCAGGCCGGGCTCCCCAGGGACCCGCTGCACGGTCCAGGCCCCGGGAAGACCCCTGCCCCCTACCAAGCTAGGACCTATCCAGGGGGCACCCAGGCTCCTGCTCTCCCACGCTCACAGGAATGTGCAAACAGGGACCGCTGGGGACAAGACAGCTCCCTGATGCCCCTCCCCAGCCCAACCCCTGTCCACTGGTGCCCCCACTTAGCTGATCCTGCACCGGGGCCCACAGCTCCCACTGTTAGGACCCACGTGGCCAGCAGCCCACCCAGCCGGAGCAGCCGCTGTCAGATCTCAGGACAGGGCTGAGAGCTGTGCCCACTGGCCATGGGCCTCGGCTCAGGTAGGACTAGGACAACTCCTCCAAGCACCTGCGCTAGAGGCTGCATCTCCTTTAGCCTCACGCAGACCCTGGGACCAGGTCTGTCCCATCCCCATTTCACAGAAGGGAAACTGAGGCTTGCCTACCTGGCTGGCTTGGCCTCATCTGTAGGATTATATGCTTGCTTGCTGCCTCTCTTCCTCGGTCAGGCAGGGGTCTATCCCCTGTCCTGGGAAGGGTGTCCTGTTAAAAGCCTGATGGCTGGGTCCCACCCCAGCTCTGCCCTGTGGCGTTTTGACCTGGACACGTTGCTTCCCCACCTTGGCCTTGGCTGTTCAGCTGACACCCCTTCTCACCATCGTCCTGGGACGTGGAAGCCAAACAGGGCCATAATGCTCTGCATCCCTGGCAGCCTGGGTTGGGGGTGCGTGGGGTGAGCTCTGACCTCGGGTGGGAATTCCCCGTGGCTTCCGTGAGCTTGTCATTTTCATGGGGTCACATCCTATTTCATCTGAAACAAGCATTGTCTACAATGAGCCTGGACCTTGTTTTCTGGATTTTTATAAATGGGTCCTGGTG